GCAATAGATACCCCAGCACAGACAGGCAAGTGGACGTAAACATGACGATGGTCGTCGCAAGACCGAGCCCAAGATTCCGTGGGGCACGCGCACGCTGTTGGACTTTGTCGATGGCCTCCCTCCATGCGTGAACCCCCCCGTCGGGGCCGATTTCCACCCCCAGGTATCGGGCATGTCGCCCAACTTGAAGGAACTCAAAGGGCGCCCCTAGAGCCTGAAGCCAACCCGATACCACATCACACGGCTGCCCACCCGTAAGAACCAGTTGGCACTTAGAGTAGTTAAGCCGAAGACCAACCGCATTATCCAGGGCCCCCAGGAGCACGAGAACAGGAACCAGCCCAGTACGGATATCACAGACCCCAAACAGCAGATCATCCGCATACCCCAGCCCTCTGTCAATATGTGTGCTACCTTTATGCAGAAGCCAGCGCAAAATCGGGTCGAGGGCCAACGCGAAGAGGCACATGCTAGTCGGGTCCCCCTGTCGCACTCCACGTTCAATCTTGATGCGCTGCAGGCGCCGCCCAGATAGAGTGACTGTGGCTGTATTGTCAGCGTAGAGGGCAGCAGAGAAGCAGATGATGGGAGTGGGAACGGACATGGTACTAAGGACAGTGAGAATCCAGCTGACAAAGAGGGACGGGAACGCAGCCGCGAAGTCGGTGAGCAAGAGTGCCGAGTGCGGCTTGCCATGGAGCCATTGAGATAGCCCCAATCCCTCAGCCTCCACCGCGTTAGATGTGATACTCCTCCCACCAACGCCTCCCGACTGCATCTCATGAACTGTCGACTTCGCAACCGAGGCAAGCGGCAAGCCCATCGCTGCAGACAGTGCCTTACACGAAGTGTCAGCCAGTGCCAACGGCCGCGTCTTGCTAGAGTCACGAAAAACAGCGGTGCCCGCGTCGGAGTCCTGATTACCCTTGGGGGGGAAGGTGAGAAGAACGTGCTGCATGTTAATGGGAAAGTCGGTGCTGTTCGTGTCGTAAATGTGCTCATAGACATCAAAAAGCAAGTTAGCGGCAGGGTCAGTCTGCCAACAGCTGTAGGGGATGCCATCAGGACCAGGGGCCGTGTTGGATGTTGCACGAATGGCACGGATAAAGTCCTCCCGCTCGACCCTCCACTGAGTCACCTCACTCAGAGGCCGAACAGACTGGCAGTGCTCAAGGAACTCCTCCCGCCCCGACATGTCCTCCTCCTTAGCAGCAACAACCCCCTCCCAGTAGCGAGCAAGGGCGTTCCCAGACTCCTCCACCGTCGCACAGGGGGAGCCGTCATCAGCAAAAACACCAGAGAGGTGCACACGGCGTCGCATCTTGCGCCATATCTGCATCTTAAACCGGGCCCGCGAGATGGCCTGCTGCCGTCGAGCCTCCTCCTCCCCCCACTCCGTCGTCGTTGCAACCGCCTGGTTAAGTTGGGCCCCCAGTGCAGTGTAATGGCACCACCTGGCATATTCGCAAAGACGGGCGTAGTCCGTGCACTCCTCACGGTCCACATCAAAGATTTGCAGCAGCATCGGGAGCGCGCCAATCGCACTACGCACCAGGTCAAAGTTCCCTGTCCGCCACCCCCGCACAGCACGCATTACCCAGAAATGCTGTTCTTCAGGTGCGCGAGCAGGTTTGCGTGCAAGTGCGCGCTTGGCAGCCCCAGCGGCGTCGTGCATAACCGATTTTGCAGCTTCAAGCCGCCGAAGAGGACTCCACTCCGTGGGGATCTGAAGGAGGCCTTCCGAGACGATATCCTTGTAGACGGGGGTCTTGCTGAGCCACGCGGGAACCGTCGAGGACTCTCTGGGGTTGAAGGCCTGAAAGGAGACTGCAACTGGAAGATGATCCGACGGTTCATACCGCGTCGGACGGCTCCGCGCTGTTGCCTGCAGGGTGAGGTCAGTGAGGAGGGCACGCGGAAGATCAGTGTAGATTCGGTCGAGGCGCGCCGTATGAGTACTGCCGTCGTTGCCCCGCCCGTATCTAGTCGGATCAGGCTGGTAGAGTTCTGCCCAACGTGCGCACTTCGTGCCAAAATAAGTGGTGTGCCATCTATCCCCAGCCTCCCAATGCCCACCATCATCCGACAGCCTCCCTTCCTCCTCCAGAGCAAAATTCCAGTCTCCGCCTATGCGGTTGAAACATGGCGTCGCCGAGGGTAACGCACAACACGCGGCGTGGAGCACTCGCCTATACTGCAGGTGACCGTGGCACGTGTTAGGCATGTGAACATTGGCGATACATAATGCACCGTGCGGCCCGACAATGAGAAAGACGCACCCGACCTTCACACAAAGGACGATGCCGAATAGAAGAGAACTGAGAAGCGAGCGCGGCACTAATTACGGTAACTGTGCCTCCTGCAGCAGTCGACGCACACATCGTCGCACCAATGTGGCACCCGCGCAACTGCTGTCTCAGGCAGGCAATATCCCCTTCATGCCCATGACATTCCTGAACACATACAATGTCATACCGTTCACACAACTGCAAGAATTTACGATAGCGAACCCTCGCCACCTCCCCCCCATATCTGACAGTAGCAAAAAGAGCGGCAGCATTCCACGTGACCATCGAGAAGGGGCGCAGAGGAGAGAAAAGAAGATCCGTAATATCCGTAATGTCACCCGTGTCCGAGCTGTCAGACGTATCATCCGTAGTGTCGGTAGAGGAAGAGGGGGGGGAGGGAGAAGAGGGGAAACAACAGTCAACAGGAAGCGAGCGCTGTGCCGCTCTGTCAAAGCCGTTGCGTGCATGCTTAAAAGGGGCGTCTCATTGCGACCTGTGCCGCATCCATCAGGCTGGCTTTGTCCGCCAGAATGCCGAACTCCGTCAGTGTGGAGTCGGTGAATTCAACCTGGACATCATTCACACCTTCGAGTACAGACACGTGGGCACACTGTACAGGGTCCTCCTCGCCGCGCAGTATGTAGACGTCGCCGCCGAGTCCGTTCGAGCCCACCGTGAACCTGCCATTGAGCAGTGCCTCTAGCTTCTGTCTGAGCTTGCCCATCGCGAGAAACAAACGTCGATCCTTGACCTTGAGGTCTCTGCGGACTTTGAGCACGAAGTGCCCGCCTTTGGGACCAGGGAACTGAATCTCGCCTTCGATCTCTGGAAGTTGCTGAGAAAATCCGACGCTGCCGATGCTGAGTTGAACTCGAAGATCGCCTTCCTGTTGAGGTCGAACGCTTTGATGACCACCGAGGTCTGCGAGTGGAGGGGCATGCAGCGGTGACGTACCACTTCAGCAGCTCGGCGAAGTGTGGCCTGCATGAGCGGCCGTGGAAATCCTAGCAGAACCAGACGTGCGGCCCCCTCCTGCGACGAAGATCCCATAGCACCATCCGACGATGAAAGGCCAGTTGAACGGGACGAGGCGGGGCTGATCGCACGACGACGGCGAGGAGGAGGTCCACCGTCAGCCGGCGTGTCGTTGAGCTGGCTCTCCAACTTCTGGACCATGGTCTCGAGCTTCTGCATCCTGACCTGACGCTCCGCCTCCGCGGAAAGGTCGGCCATCGCATCCTCGCTCGATTGGTATTGCTCCATACTTGCCTCAAGGATGTCCATCCTCGCGGCCAGCTAACTGTATTCCGAGCGCATCTCAGTGACAGACGCAGTGATCTCGATCTGGAACGAAGAGAGCTTTGCGTCGATGCCCGTCACCGAAGCCAGAATCGACCGCGCCCACTCGGGAGCAGCCTCATGCGCCATTCGCGGGTGCGTGAGACTGGAGATGTTGGTGCCTGTGGTCGAAAGGAGCGATCCTGGAAGGGCAGCCGCCCTCGAGCCAGGCCCTCTGCTGCGACCAAGCTCGAAGCGCCAGGCCGCGCGTTTCGAACTTGAGCCAAAATGGCTTGAGCCAAAATGGCTACGGACACTATCGGTCTCATTGTTGATCTCACGATCGATCTCTCACCATCGATCTCACTGTCGATCTCACCACGGGACACCACGGGACAACGACGGGACACCGGCGGGACACCAGCGGGACACCAGCGGGACACCGGCGGGACACCGCGCGCCACCGGCTGCCGGGCAGAGAACCTTTTGGTCCGGCCGCGGCCCAGGCACGACGGGACACCTGCGGGACATCAGCGGGACACCAGCGGGACACCGGCGGGACACCGCGCGCCACCGGTTGCCGGGCGGAGAACCTTTTGGTCCGGCCGCGGCCCAGCCACAAGAGAATTTCCTCCCACGCCCACGCAGCTTCGCTTTGCCCGCACGCACGGCACGAACACGAAACCGACATCGATTTCCCGGTAGGGGGGCTTTCCGTTCCACTTCGATCTCACACCCCAACCTCCGATAACCCTCGTCTCTGACTCTGGCCCACGTCAGCGTCGTCGTCGCCGCCGGCGTTGTCGTCGTCCTCCCCCCTTCAGTCGAAATCGTTGCTGCCTCCATCTGCTTGGGTGGAGTCGAAACCGTTGCTCACCCTCCCCTGGCCACAGATCTAGAGGCCTCCTAATAGATGGGGTCGGAGCAGGTAGGGTCGACGGATCTCGCCGCATCGTCAATGCATCGGCGACATCGACGGTACATCGGCGACGTGGGCGTGGGGAATCACGGTCTCCACATCGAGCCGCATCGTTGATGCGGCGCGATCCCCCGACCCCACCTACTCGGACCCCATCTAGGAGGCCCAGAAGATCGCAGTCTCAATCCTCCTCCTCCTCCTCCTCCTCCTCCTCCTCCTCCTCCTCCGCCGCTTTCCCCTGGAGCGCCGTGCCACTCCCGCGGCCAGGGCGATCTCATATAACGACCCATGCAAAGTTAGTCCTTCTCCTGCTCCTCTTCCTGCTCCCACTTCGTCCTCCTCCTCCTCGCCCTCCTCCAACCTCCTCCTCCTGCTGCTCTTGCGGCTCCTCGTCCTCATCCCCTGATCCTTGTCCTCCTCGTCCACATCTTCCTCCTGCTGCTCTTCCGGTTCCTCGTCCTCGTCCCCGTCGTCGGCTGGGTGGAGCGCAGGAGGGCCGCGCCCCCCCCCCCGGGCCAGGGAGATCTCGTAGAGCGACCACTCTGCCATTGCCTTCTTCTCCAGGCCACTGGGCGAGTCCGCACAGCACCTGCGGTCGAATGCCTCCTCCTCCTCCTCCTCGCCCTCGCCTCCTTCTCCTCGCCCTCCCCTCTTTCTCCTCGTCCTCGCCCTCCTCCTCCTCCTCCTCCTCCTACTTCTTCTCCTCTTCCTCGTGTTCGTTCGTTGGACAAGCTTCAGCTGCAAGGCTGTAGCGTTCGCTTCTTCCTCCGCCTCCTCCTCCTCCTCATCATCATCACCTCCTCCTCCTTCTCCTCCTTCCTTCCCTCGCTCCGTCATCACGACCGTCATCACCGCCTAAGTCGTCGCCGCCGTCGCCGACACCCTCAAGATTACCGCCGCCAGGGTCGTCGTGGATACCACTGCCAACAACAATGCCAACAACAGCACCTGCAACCATACTCCGGGCGTTCTGGGCTGAACATGAACCTGTAGCTGCACTCGGGCACCAGCGTCACGAACTGCGCGCCTCAGCGTGGCTGCTTTCGCGAACGCCCCGCGAGTGGGGACGACAGATGCGGTTCTGCGGCGGCGAAGAAGTGGTGAATAGAGGACGGCCTCGGCAAAGCCCTCGAGGAGGAGGAGGAGGAGGAGGAGGAGGGGAGGAGGAGGAGGAGGAGGAGGAGGAGGAGGAGGAGAGGATGAGGGGGAGGAGGAGGAGGAGGAGAGGATGAGGAGGAGGAGGAGGAGGAGGAGGAGGAGGAGGAGGAGGGAGGAGGAGGAGGGAGGAGGGAGGAGGGAGGGGGGAGGGGGAGGATTTTTTTTCCAGCGCGCCGCTGCCAACCAACCTCCACAGTGCAAGAGATGCAGGGGTTGCCTGGCAGGGAAGAGAAAGTCACGCAACCCAGCTCATGGAGGACTTGGAGGGCGGCAGGCCCTTGCAAATACGCTGTAAACCCTCGAGCTGGTGCTTAGTAGTGGCATGCGGGCCAAAGGCGGCCACAGGACAGGGCTCCCGCAAGGAATCAGGGCGAGCTATTGTCCAGGAGCCGCATTCACCGCAAAAGGTGAAATCACCTTTCTGCCACAGCACGTGCGACGGATGGACCGCCTTGCCAGCGACCCATGGCTCAGCTCGCTCGGGGGGCGGATCGAGCCTCAGGCGGCGCCAGAGGGAAACATCCCTGACGGCCAGGGCCCGACCTGGCCTCACCCACTTTTTGACAGGAACCTCCTCCGCCTCCGCCGAAACCAGACTCCCAACTCCACCACCTCCATAGGCAGGGCAAGCAGAGCGGAGCCTCGCGCGGAGCGATGGGGCAGCGTCGGAGATCGAGGCCTTGCACCTGCCGCGCGTCCAGAAGCCAGACACAAACTCCCAAACGTGCGACGAACACCTAACATCGGCTTCGATCCACCGACGCCTGCGGAGCACAAGATCGATGGGCTGCTTGCGCAGCCTGCGCTCAGGATCAGCCTTGAGGGCAGCACGCTCGAGGGTGATAGAGGCATTGCGCTTGAGGATAGCACAGGCATTGGCAACGAGCTCGTTATAAGTCTGCACACTCCCTCGGGCACCTGGCATTCAAGAGCACGCAAGTTAGCGAGCTCGTCCGCGACAGAGTTAAGCACAACATGGTCCCAGTCTACAGAGTCGCCAAAACGGGCGAGCTTTCGGGCGTCGTCCAGTAAGTGGCTGGGAACATGAGATACCTGGAATTGACCAGCTCGCTCCGAAAGGAGCTGCCGAAATTCCCACCAGAGATCAAACTTTGCCAGCCTAGCAGAGGCCGCTCGGCCAGCCAGGAAACCTTTGACGACATTGGCATGGTCGGTGACCACGCGCAGATCTTGGGCAGGACCAGCGCAGCGAAGGCACTCAACAATAGCCGCAAGCTCTGCGCGGGGTACCGTCTGCCGAACCGAGTCGAGTACACCTGTGACTCCACAATCCCAGTCGAAGCCATCGCTAGGACAGAGCCGCACAAAGGCAAAAGCAACTCGACGGAGAACAGGAAACCTGGCAAACTGGCCACCAGTGCCGTCTGTGGCATAAAGACCTCCTGGCAGACAGCCTGGAGACAAGGCCCCAGGACAACGCCGCCCCTGGAGCTCCCTGGAACCAGGAACAGGGGGGAGGTTAAACCAAGAAAGGGGAATAAGTCCTCGAGTCCAGAAGCACGGAGACTGTAAAGCTTCTTGCAGCGCGCTGTGCCTAAGATGCTGAGTGTCGACAACCTCCTGGTCCTGCGACGATGCATTGCACATGCATCCCCAAAACCTGTGGCAGGAGGTCTCGGGGTCCCGCTGGCAACGCCGACATATAGGGTCAGGAGCCAACTGGGCATTGTGCCTTCTCTCCTCGGTCCAGTAGCCTCCAGAGACCAAGAGCCGAATCATAGCCGCGAGGTCCCGACGCCCGTCCTTATCGAGGGAGGCAACAAGGTCCCAGACGTGATGTAGGGAGACAGAACCCTGGATCCCAGCGCCATCCAGCCACTCTGAAGCCTGGCGCCACTGAAGCGTGTCGATCGATTCATCAAAAGGCCTCAAGGAGAGGGCCTAGAGGGCCATGCCCGTCTTCCGTCATCTGCCACTCATCACCGCAAGGCGCAATGAGAGTGAAAGGTGAGGGGCATTGCCATCCTACAGACAAAATCGTGGCTTGAAAAGCAGCCATCGGCCCACGGACCCAGGCCCACCCTTTTCGGACCTTGGCCAAAGAAGCCGCCCAGTGTCGGGCCAAACGATGGTGGAGACCAGGACGCCACGCCAAGCGAGCAAACCACGACTTGACAACACGACGGACGTAGACCTGGAGGGGGTCCTGGCCATAGCCGAAAGTGAGGCGGATGGCTGTAGTGGCACACGCTCCTCGCTGAGGGGTCTTGCTGGCCGCACGGGCCATGCTGCGAAGGCCTTTGAGCATGGAGGGGGAGACGCCGTGGATCTCAGGCGCCCACATGGCCTTCGCATATGCATTAGGATAGAACAACTTACTGGCCTGCCTGCAAGTGCGCCCAAAACCAAAAATCTTACTAGTGGCATCGCGCCCCTTGGAAAAGCGGGTCTTCCTGACGGCCACAGTCCTCCTGGCGCCCAAGGCGGTGTCGTGCCCCAAGTCCCTGGCAGCCAGAGCCATCGAGAACTCGCAGCCCTCACGGACAGCAATCCTGGAAAGCTCAGCCCGAAGGCCTGGCGAAGACGCCAGCAGATGGGACTTATCCAGGGACAACTGACAGCGACGCCTCCTGAGGCCAGTGAGGAGGGCACGCAGCAGGATGGGAAAGGTGGCAGCGATGGAGGAATGCGTGCCAAGAATACGAGCTGAGATGTCATCAACCCACTCCCGCAGCCGCAGATCACCAACCGATCCATTGGCTCCTGTAAGGGGTTGGTGCAAACGGGCACGAGCGAGGGAGGTGGCCTGGCCACAGCCAGCCAACATATCCCCATGAGCCAGGATCCCAGGGTGAACAGCCCCCTCCAGCGACAAATGCCGAACCCCCAAGTACAGGTCAATGGCCAGGGCCAACAGATGGAGTGGGTATTCTAATTGGCAGGCAGCTTCCACCAAGTCCTGAAGACAGACTTGGTCATAATACTTCTTCATGTCAAGCAAAAGGCCCCCGACCTGAAAACCGCTGTGGAGGGCGAGTTCCGTTTCAAGCTCGTCGAGCCAACCAGCAGCATCAGCCGAACCACCAACGGTCTGGTCCCAGGGGCCATGCGCCTCACGGTCCCAGCCCGTGATGAATGGCTTCCTGATGCGCAAAGAGCACCTGCGAGGAGACCACCGGCAGCCGCTCGTGCTCCCAAAAGGCCCCTCGTGCCGCGCTGCCGACCCGGGCAGCGAAGCCAGCTGCCGCGGGGCCGACAAAAGCCGGCCAGCGCAGACGCAGGCCGTCGGCCCCGCGAGGCGAGCTTTCGACAGCACTGGGCGTGTCGGTCCTGCGGGCGGGGAGGAGATCGGGAGCGGCCCAGAGGGGGGCGTCCAAGAGGGGGGGGGGGGTGCAACTCATGGCAGGCGGCACGTGCGCGGCCCAAGGGGGGGAGCCAGGGACGTAATGAAATAGGACGAGGCGCCACGAAATCTGGGGAAATACCGTGGCCCACGCCATGAAATAGGACGAGGCGCCTCAATCTGCCTGCAGTAGGTGATCCTCTGTAGGGAAGCGCGGTGTTGGGGCGTTGGAGGAGGAGAAGGAGGAGGAGGAGGAGGGAGGAGGAGGAGGAGGAGGAGTGGAGGAGATGAGGAGGGAGGAGGGAGGAGGGATGGGAGGAGGAGGGGAGGAGGAGGAGGGAGGAGGGAAGAGGGGAAGGGGGGGGAAGGAGGGAGAGGGAGAAGACGACGACGCTCGGCTCGGACCGGCGCCGGGGTCGAGCACCTGCGAGGAGACCACCGGCAGCCGCTCGTGCTCCCAAAAGGCCCCTCGTGCCGCGCTGCCGACCCGGGCAGCGAAGCCAGCTTCCGCGGGGCCGACAAAAGCCGGCCAGCGCAGACGCAGGCCGTCGGCCCCGCGAGGCGAGCTTTCGACAGCACTGGGCGTGTCGGTCCTGCGGGCGAGGAGGAGATCGGGAGCGGCCCAGAGGGGGGCGTCCAAGAGGGGGGGGTGGCAACTCATGGCAGGCGGCACGTGCGCGGCCCAAGGGGGGGAGCCAGGGACGTAATGAAATAGGACGAGGCGCCACGAAGTCTGGGCAAATACCGTGGCCCACGCCATGATAGTCGCCACCCCCCTCTTTGCCGCCCCCGAGAAGAACCAAGGAAGGACGAGGCGAGCAGGCAACCACGCAACACACAAAACTGGCGCGGGGCGGACGGGAGCGGAACCGAACGGAGCGGGCTGGGCGGGCTCCTCCCGCTGCTTCTGGATCTCTCCTCGTCCTATTCCTCCTGGTCCTGCCCTCCTGGATCTCTCCTCGTCCTATTCCTCTCTCCTCGTCCTATTCCTCCTGGATCTCTCCTCGTCCTATTCCTCCTGGCGACCATCTATTTCCACTCCCTCCACTTCCGCCCTGGTGTGGAGCCAAACTGGCCTGTCAGAGTATCAATTCGAACCGAGTGCGGGCTAGACCTTACCCTTCCTTTCACCGTTGGTTTTTTTTCGTGCGGCGTATCAGCATGCATGTCGAGAGCTGTACGCGGGTCACATCACGCGCAACATAATTAAAAGCCGCTCACGGCTAGGCGCCAGGCGCCGCGCAACCTTTTTCACACATCGACCCCCGATTGAGCGCGGCGGACGAGGAGGACGACGAGAGCAAGGACGAGGAGGAGGAGGACGAAGACGAAAACGAGGAGGACGAGGAAGAGGACGAAACGGATGCCGACGAGGATGACGAGGAGTAGGAGGATGATGATGATGAGGAGGAGGAGGGGGAGGAGGAGGAGGAGGAGGAGGAGGAGGAGGAGGTGGAGGAGGAGGAGGGAAAGGAGATGGAGGAGAGGAGGAGGGGGATGAGGAGGAGGGGGAGGAGGAGGAGGAGGAGGAGGAGGAGAGGAGGAGGAGGAGGAGGAGGAGGAGG